GGGAGGCGGTGCGGGGTGGGGGCGCTCTTGATCCTCGCGCCCCGAGGCGCGGGTGGGAGTTAGGGGTTAGCCCTGGCTGGGCAGGGGCGGCGCCTCCCACCGCTCACCTCCTGCCCCGAGTGCGCACCCTTATCGCCCTCCCCCGAGTCGGCTTGCTGTCCCCGCAGCTGCTCGGTGGCTGCGTGTGGTCGTGCCCCGAGCTGGGCGTGCGTTCCAACGCCCGCTTCCTTCCTCCTGGTCGGCACAGCTAACCGCTCCCGCAGCGTTTTATGGTTTTGTGGGTGGAGTGACCGCACCCGGCCACCCGGGTTAGGGAGCACCTTTGCCCTCGAAGCCAGGGGGGTTGGTGGAGGGGGGCGGGGGGCGGGCAGAGGGACGTTTCCTTGTCGTCGAGGAAGGCAGATGCTGAGCTGGGACTGTTCTTCCCCATAAGGTGACAGTTTCTCTTGCGAGGCGTGGCAGCACTTCCTGTCCTACTAGACAGCCATCTCCGCGGCATTACGTAAACCATCGTGTCTGTATAATTCAGAGAAAACCAACTTGCAGTGTCTGGGACCGCTAGACAACCCAGCCTCCACTCGGAAAAAGTACCCACCCCCCCATCAATATCTTCCAGCACCGATGTGAAAGTTTCCATTTTAAGAGCTAGAATGCACAGCATGTCCTCGGCTTTCTATTCCGCACTGACTTTGAACCTGACTTCATTAGGCGTCCTTCATTAAAATCAAAATGCTTAGCAGCTCTCCTTGAGCTCTCCAATTCCCCTGGCTGAAGACATAGGCTCCATGCTGCGGAGACCAAGTAATGCAAGTGGTAATTACCTTGGTGGCTATTAACCAGCTCAGCCAAGTGCATCTCTTACGAGCAGTTCTTACTTAGGTCATCATGAAGGGGGTGAGGGAGGGTCAGTAGCTCTTCCCCTCCAGAAACGAGGGGGCTGAATCTCGAAATTGCCGGGTAATATGCGTGCGCTTCATCTTTGCGGGTTTTTTTTTTTTTTGCTAACAGGCCAGTTGTAAGACTTCTAGCCTGCCCTTTGAGCCAGAGTGTAATTCGACCCTGGGCACTAGCCCTTGTAAATGGTAGGCTTTTAACAAATAACAGGCTAATTTAAGTGATTGGAAAGCACTGATTACATAGAAATGAAGTTGCGGTAACCCATTGCTGTATTCCGGTGGTTGCCCCCCCCCCCCATTAATTGTATCATAAAATGGATCTCAAAGCCTGTTAATCCAGCCCAATGCCGTTATGTAACACCAGTTTGGGGCCCTGGAGTAACAGCAGCAATGCGCAAGGTGCGCTAAAAGCCTGACCCTGGACTAGATCCTGGTGGCCAGCTGCAGTGGCGTAGGGCTGCGCCCCTTCTTGGATGCAAGTGGGGACTGCGGTGTGGTGGTGTTAATGGCGCAGTAGGTGGCGCCCTTCCTCAGAACCTGCCACTGCGGCCACTGCCACGGAGCAGCTTGCCACTAGGGGTGCCCTTGTTCAGATTACAAGCTGGCCCTTCCTCATTGAACCTCAGCTCGCACTGTAAACCGCAGCCCGCCCTCCACCCCCCTGGGAGAGAAGCGAACTCCATCAGCAGATGTCTGCCACTTCTTTGCTGTCTTTTTTTCAAAATAGCATAAAGGATTCATTTTAATTGCTTTTGCTAAAGGACAAAGCTGACGATTTCAAAAGTTGATTTTGTTGTTGAAGGTTGCCATTTGAAAGCATTAAGTGTGTTAACTGGGAAGACCACCTTGCTCTTTACCACATTGTCCGAGACTGAATCACATCTTTTCTGTCTCCATGTAGGCCGATCAGCTGACCGAAGAGCAGATTGCTGGTAAGTAGAAGTCTGGGAGTAGGCTCCCACTTAGTTTTACGTCTGGTCTCCTCCATACCCTCCTACAGTCAGAATGGATTTCTAAGAATTTATTCACATGAAATAGTTCAGGTCAAGTGTTAGCCAAAAGATTGGTGGGATTAGAACCAAGTGGAACTGAGACCACCCCGTTGCTGTAGCTCTGCGGTGGCACAGCCTGCTCCCCGAAAATCCTACTGTCAGAGTCTCAGGCTGCAGGACTTTCGGTCCTCTCCCTCGCTTCCTTTCCGAAAAGGCAGGGGAGGGAGTGGGTGTTAGGACTATTGTTACATACAGGGAAGGGCATTCTAGGGTAGCTGCTGGCGTTCCATGGAGGGTTCCTTTTGAAGGTATTTCTCTGTAAGAAACCAGAAATGTTGCTAGAATATTCTGAACACAGCTGAGAGCATGGCTGGCAGACTTGGGGATTCCCATTTCGAGTATCCGTTTCCTGATGCTAGGAAACCAGGCGTTCCGACAGCTGCGGAAATGTAACAGGAATGGACCTTTGGGGGGGCACATGGACCAGCTCTCCCTTGTGTGTGATTATTGGACTTGGGCTGACTGAGCTGTCTTTGTAAAACTTGGGGAAGATAGTAGTGTTAGGGAATTGGCCATCAAGAACATGGTTTGCTTTATGACAGGCTTTCCTGGCCTGTGTTTCAGCAGCTAGAAAGGCTACGCGGTCTGAGAACGCGCCTCTCTGGGACGACGCTCCGGGCGAGCACCAGGGAGGCGCCTGCGGTGGCGTGGCGGTGTGTCGCAGAGACACGCTCTAAAGGTTGACCGTTTGTTTTCAGAATTCAAGGAGGCTTTCTCCCTGTTCGATAAAGATGGCGACGGCACCATCACAACAAAGGAACTTGGAACTGTCATGAGGTCTCTGGGACAGAACCCAACTGAAGCTGAATTACAGGACATGATCAACGAGGTGGATGCTGATGGTAAGGCTTCAGGGCTCTTGACTGTGCGCCAGTGTCATGTCAACTCGGGTTCCCGTGGGTCTGGGAGTTGCCTTCCCCATCTCCAGAGTGGAGCAGATGGGCAGAGAGAGAGCCTTTCTGTGGTTGCCTTTCGGCCACAGGCAGTGTTAATAGAAGATCGTGGGCCTGTCCTCCGCCTGGCTCCTGTCTAGAATGGTTCCTGATAGGTTCACCGCAGGGTTGTTTTCTACTTGTCATGACGGACAGCCCAGGCTGTTGCAACTGACCTGTGAGTCTGCACCGAGGCCTGTGCATGGAGTAACACTTAGCAGCCACAGACCTGCTGTGTAAACAGCAGATGGCCTCATAGGAGAGGAGAAACCCCGGAGTGTGGGAGTGTTTGGAGGGGTGATGTTCCCTTACAACCTCGCACCCTCCTGAGCCTTAGGTGTGTTGTCGAAGCAGCATGAGGTGTGGAGGCAGGGCGGGGAGCCCTGCAGGGAATAGAGGCTAGAACCGAGCGCGAGGGGAAGCTATGTGGAGTCTGACGGAGCAGGCGCTGAGGTCCGCAGACTCCCTCCCGAGTAGTTGACAGCAGCCCTCTTGCTCACTCGATTCAGTGGAGGTTTCGAGCACCCCTCCCAAACCTGTATCTGGAAATCCTACCTGACATAGGTGTCTAGTATTGTAAAGCAGTTTTTTAAGCATAGCCCAGAATTGTGAGCCTTTGGGAGCTAGAACATGGACGCCAGTCGTTTCAAAGTAAGTGATACCGTGGAAATAGTGATGTTGGAGAAGTATACTTCATAGGTGGTTCCGTGGAAATACCCTCGTCTGCTCAGATGCCCAGGGTTTTGGGTTAGGCTCTCTGGTAAGAGGTTTGGGGCTGTTTGAGCGCCTTCTGAAGCTGTTCATTCTTAACGTTAATTTGGAAAATAAGATCACCCGTGCTTTTCTCTCTAGTGACTAAGGTGCCCCACAGTGTGGGAACATGGGACAGCCCTGCCCTGTCCTGTTCATGTAACCCCAGGAGACCTGCCAATTATCGAGGATGCAGAGTTGGGAGGGGGGCCTGGTGGGCTCTGGAACCCAGCATTGGTAACGAGCTTGGACAAAAGCTAAGGGTTTTCTTCAGGGTTTGTGTCGTCTTTGTCGCGAGCGAGTGCTGATGACGCTGCAGCAGGTTATAGCCCTCAAGGACTTGAGGGGACAGCTAGGTGGTGGGGTTTTTATTGAGTCCCTCACCTGAAGCTTCCTCATTGTGATTCAGGTGACACGTCCTGACAGAAGAGTTGCTTCAGCCGCTGGCCATAGAACAGCTTCTTCTGATTGTCTTCTGAGTGTTTGTGGTCTGAGCTTTGAATGCACGGGGCCTTAATGGGACATAGAGGCATTAAGAATTAACAGTTGTAACATGGATGAGAAATGAAATCCCGCCCACCCCCCCACCCCCCAGGAGGTTGTAAGACTGGCGAACATTTCCTGGTCTCAGGCTGTTTTCCGCGTGTTTTGTAAGCATGTGACCAGGCTCTAGGCCCCGGGGTGGTGGAGGGGACGTTCTTAGAATGGGACGACACCCGCCCTCCCTCTGACTTGGGAAGGTGTCCAGCCTGGGGTGCTGGGTCCTGTGGAATGGTCTGGGGGAGAAGAACCTTTTTAGAGCCAGAAAGACGGGAGCTTCTCGGGGTTCAACCTAAGCATAAAATAGTGGGTCAGTTTCTTCACTCATGTAGCACTCCCCAATCCTGCGAGCCAGTGGTTCTCCGATTCTTCACTTGGTAGCATTCATGGAGGGCGTATTTTCACACCAGCTTTTGTTTTTACATTTGAGGTAATGGCACCATTGACTTCCCAGAGTTTTTGACGATGATGGCTAGAAAGATGAAGGACACAGACAGTGAAGAAGAGATCCGTGAGGCCTTCCGAGTCTTTGACAAGGTAATCCAGTGCCTGCGTGGCAGCCAGTTCTTTATGCTCGGCTTGGATGCCCCCCCACCTTTGGTTTTCAATTCTGAACGCCCGTGACAACCTGTTGAGAGGTAGAACCCTTAGCCTCGCGGCTGCAGCCCCTGAAGTCTGACGTACAAGGAGCGGGCTCCGGTCTCTCACGTCGGGAGTGAGACGAGGCTTTCTGCTCCCTTGAACGGTTGAGCTCTCCGAACCCAAAGGGCAGCTCCGCTCTGTCCTCATGCTCTGTCGCTGTGGGTTGGGACTGACTCACTGGCAGCGAGGGGTTTTGGTTTCTGTGTTTTGGATCGTTCATTTTATCAGTCGAGAATTCTGATGGATAGTCCTGTTGGATTGGGGATGGGGCGTGGCCCTGCATTTTCTGCGCTCACTGCCTTACGGGCATTTAGTGGCCAGAGGTGGCGAGCCTGGAGATGAAAGGATTGGGGGGCGGGAGCTGAGTTGGCCCCTAGTGAGCTGGCATAGTTAATGTTAGAAAGACCGGCTTGCCCATGCCAACCCACTGCCCGGTAACTGAGGGCTGCCGGTTGTTCATTCGCAGGATGGTAATGGCTACATCAGTGCGGCCGAGCTACGCCACGTCATGACAAACTTAGGAGAAAAACTAACAGACGAAGAAGTAGATGAAATGATCAGAGAAGCAGACATCGACGGCGACGGACAAGTCAACTATGAAGGTAAGAGGCTCCGGGCACGGGCTCCGGGCAGCTCCGGAAGTGAGCCCGCTGCTACGCCAGCCTTGTCCTAGCTATAGTTTAGGCAGAGCAGAGATGGCTCTGTTCGTTTACGTTGCTTCCCAAGATAACCCAAAGTTATGATTATTTGTCTTTTCAGAATTCGTACAGATGATGACTGCAAAATGAAGACCTTCTTTCACTCCTTTATGCCCCCCCACTAGAAGAATCAAATTGAATCTTTTACTTACCTCTTGCAAAAAAAAAAAGTTCATTTATTCATTGTTTCTGTATAGCAAAACTGAATGTCAAAAGTACCTTCTGTCCACACACACACACAGACACACACACACACAAATCTGCATGTATTGGTTGGTGATCCTGTCCCCTAAAGATCGAGCTACACATCAGTTTTACAATATCGATACTTGTACGAACCTGACTGATAAGGAAGCACTCAGTGGGCTCCTCCAGGAACCGTTGGCTAATGAC